ATCCTAAATGTTACAATGTCATAATATGTCCATTATTATTTTAATAATTAAAAATGCTATAAAGATGAAATGCATTTATATATAGTTTACATTTAATATATCCGACAAGTGAGCTAAATTCGTCCACAAATTAAATGGCATCTCTCTATAACTATATATATTCCTGTTGTTAAACATAAATTCTAAATTACCTCCTAGAAGTAGCTTAACAACAATTCTGTTACAATTGCTGTTCGTGTGGCTGAAGGGTGTGGTTTGTGTGTGTTATTCGTGCGATTAATGGCTGCGCTTTGTGCTGTTAATTTTTTTTGTTCATGTCCCCTGCTAGTGTGTACCTATTCCAAACTGCATGTAAGCTAAATAATTATACATGATATATAAATAATATATAACTTTTGATCCTAACTGTAAACAGCGAAACTTGAATTTATGTCCATTGTTCATTTCCTTTTATCCCTTATTCCACTTGCAATCCTGCAGCAAATACTTCGACCTCGATCATCACTAAACGTAGAGAAGAGAACGATTGAATGACTAGATATCTTCCAGTCAATGGTGGTGAACAGGAAATTTCTTTAGCATCTGCATGTGGTACTGAATGTCGACCTCCACATTTTGTGTTATTTCGTCCTTCGTTCTCCAAACTGTTTCCAATCTTGATTTCAAAATCCGATAAGCCATTGTAATAATCTTTTCTGTTTGTAATGATAACACGAGCTACGGGTATGACAATCTAGGCAGAATTTTTGAACAAATGCAAAATATATTAATGGTGAAATTTGTGTTGTATTTTCCACTGGACGATGGACTTATTCCGTCGATATTAAGAAAATCTCTTGCCGCTTAATATTGCGTGGATAGAAGAGGGTGGTGTGGGCTCGGGCCAGATTGTCTAATCAAAACATGGAACGTTATTGACAGTTGGTACTTTTTAACGGCGATTCTATCATATATATAACATTATTTGACTGCCAAATGAATTTGTTTCGATATTCGGTTTCAAGTTAATATGAGCTTTTTTTAAAAAAAGAATTGAAATATGATGCTGCACCATCCACGCCTTTTTTCACCCCTTGATTGGCCCCTTGCTTTCGTTTCAGTTGTACCATCCACATTGTCAATGAGTGCATGCATGATAACCAATATATTTAGGAAAAACTTATTGACTGAGGATGCAGGCTTTACAAACTGTGATTTCTCGGAATAATTTTAGATTATACCTGAAACATATATATATATATATATACCTGAAACATATATATATATATATATATATATATATATATATATATATATATATATATATATATATATATATATATATATATATATATATATATATATATTTTCAAAATCCTGCAGACTTTATCAATTTTAAGCTTTATTAATTTTAAGCGGCTACATTATCAATGACAAACTGCAAAGAATGAAGATATTATCCACAGTTTCCTGCAACTTATCCTAGTTATCCAATATATAGTTAATTAAATACGCCTTCGCCCATTTATTAATAGTTAGGATGAGGGGTCAAAAAAATTTTCAGTAAAAAAATAGGGGATCATAATTTTTTATCAACTTTTCTCTCGGGGGTTCCAAGTTTTAGCATGAAATTAGACATCAGTTGCTCAGGCCCACCCCCCTCCCCCAGCTAAAAAATGAATGCTCCCTTAGCAGTTAATTATTACGTCAGCAGTTCTAGCTTGCAATCAAGAAGGAGAATCAATGCAGGTCGCGCTTCCGTGCAGTGCAAACAAGAATGGCTTGAACAGCCGGACAAATTCATCTGAACTGGCACATTGGCTAAGAAAAGAGAAGTTACTGATGTAAACTTGTGGTGGCGCATTATCAATCAAATATGTCGGCTATTTGAGTTCTTTTGTTTACGATCTGCTCACTTTTTGGACTATTGATTGCTCGGCAAAGTTCATTCAGTACATACTATTGCCTACCTGAAAGTCCACTCGCCACCATTGGTCCTCGGCACTACTTAAATGTGCGCATAATGCAACTCCAGTTTTGCACCTATCAGCTTTTATACCATCCACGGCATACTTTGAAGAAAAATTACCAACATCAGAATGATGCAAGGTTGAAGATTGTACAGTCGGTTTTAGGAGGGCAAAATTGTAATCTGTGTCTTGAAATGTAGATAGGAAAAATTAGAATTTAGATAAAAATAACTAACATGAAAATTTAACCGATTCTGATTAGAAAATATGAATGCTATAAATTATCGAAAAAGCAAACCAAAGGACATTTCGATTTAATTTTAGACCAATATATGATTGTTTAATTAAATTGTATTGGGTTGTTTGTTATTGTGATAAGTATACGTGTATTATATATTTCGCATGTGTTGCATGCCTTCAAGTGGCCATAAATTTGTTATTATTATTCCCTGAGGGCGGAAGCCCAATGCGAGCTAGAGTACTAATTCCTCTACGCTATTTTCACCTGGAGAAATGAGAAACGTTGGCATCTACAGAAATTTACAGATTATCAATAAGCCACGCGGCTATTATTAATGTGTGTCACGGGTGGACTACTGATCTCGGAAGTATTGGGTTTGCAAGTAGTCGGATAAGGGAGATTTCAATTTTCTAAAACAAATATTTAGAATAATTGAGGAAATAAGAAGAATTGATTTACTATGGGAAATCGTGAAATATAGCGCAAGTTTGCTTTGAATGTTTAATCGGTTTAGAATTTTTTTGGCATAAAACATGCACCCACTGCTTTCCTTTGTAAAATAGAAGAAAATTCCCAAATTTACGTTCAAACCTGTTTAATTTGAGGGGAAAATGAGAGCAAATTATTTTCAACACCAAACTGAAATTACTCAGAATAATTTGAATTCATTTTTATTAGGTTAATTAAAAACAGGTTATTGGAAAAAGCAGTTTAGTTGAATGAACATTTCTAATCAAAACATATTACGAAGCATTTCATAATATATTTTACATTAAATCTAAGCTCACAGAACGCAAAATGAAATCCTGCAGTATGCATGCAAATGTTCTTTTTTCTGGGCTAAAGTGCCCCATTAATTTTAAAGAACGAAAAAAGTATTTCTTGAATGAACGCCCAACTTTTTCTGGAAAGAAAGTGACCTTTTTGCAGTAGTAAAGACTTTGTAAAGGCCATTTCCCAAGTTATAGAGACTACACATTTTCAAAAATTTTCGTTCGGCTCGAGAACGACATAAAATCGTTTGATTTTGGTCATCTACAAAATTGTCCCTTTTGGTCAATGTCCCTCCACTTTAGAAATGCTTGCGCGCCTCTGTTGCTATTTGGCATAGTGTTGTGTACATGTTGGCTAATTTCTAATACTTTATGTGAAATCAGTGATGGGAAAATATCGGCGAGGCCTTGCTGTAGGCATGTATTTTTAGTTTTTATGACAAATATTTAGCGAGGAAAGACATTCCAATAATACTGATATCAATAATTATGTGTCCTCGTCCTATATAAAAATTCTAACAATAGATAAAGTATGAAACCAAATTACATTAAACAATACTGAAAATAAATCTAGTAATTCAATTTAATAGTGGCTAATAGTTCATGACTCTATTAATTAACAATCACTGAAAATGTTTTAAAAAGACATACTTGCGTACTGCCATGTATAGGGTATGGGTTAAAATCAATATTTAAAAAACTCATTAATAATTCATGAGGAAAATACAAAAGAAATTAATTTTAAATCAACGTTTGTAAATAGGATAAAGATTTGTCCTGATTTACATAAACTTCAGCTTTGATTTTGTCGGCTTAGACACTGTTTATTTTAAAAAATTTGTTATTGCGTCAAATTTGTAATTTTCTTAAACGAAAATGCTCTTAAGGTGGCTCCCTAGGGTTTTTTAATTTACTACACTATAGTATTCAGGAGACTCCTGTTTCTTTACTTTACATGACATAAAAACGAAATTTCTTGGACACATTGACAATGTTCTCCTAAACATTGCAAATTTCTGCTTTTGTGTTAAAAGTATGTTGTCATGGCAACAGCATGCTTAGAATAACGCTCAAAATTTATCTTTTTCAGGTCATTTTAAAAATTCCCTTCGCTGAAATTTTTTGAAACTTTGCATAAAAGATAATACTTGTATAATGATTTTTCCCCTTCAATTTAAAAAAATTAAATCGATAAGTTTCTTAGAAAATTTAAAAAACGTCAAAAATCAATATTAAAAATTTTCCCTTCGATTTAATTTTAAGAAAAAAGGATATTGCACTTGTTGTGCCGATATAAAAAATGTGCAAAGTTTTAAAAAATTTTACCGAAGGAAAACAGAGAAATTTGGGTTTAATTTTGGCAATTTTTACGGATTTTTACGCGAACAATTTAATACCCCAACTGACGTGTACATGCATTCTGCATAAAACAACAAGGCATGACTTTTTTGAAATCACAAAAAATAAATTTTGTTTGATATACTGTTTATAACTGTGTCGGTTAATGGCCAACTAAGCGTGGATTATACATGCAAAATTGGCAGAGAAATTTAGGTAATTACTGGTTATGACTTCTTGGTATTAATTTGAAAAATGTTTGTCAAAATTCGTCCCGTGCGAGTTTATAGTACTATCGTCGGAAGTTTTCGCAAAATGCCCGTTCAAATTTCAGTTTTCATAGTGGAATGTTTGGAGTTTCGGCCCTGCTCATTTCACCCGTAGAGGGCTCATTATTTAAGTCATCTTTATTGTCATAAGTGCTGCTAAACTGTGGAGAAAACACTGCAAATTCTTGAGGAAACTTTATATCATATCCCAATGTTCGCGATCGAACCTCGCGTACGGCGGTTCAAAAAACTTCCAGAATACCGCTTGAAAAACAAGTTTACATTATTTTCTTTTGAAACATCACATCCAAGTATCATTTTGGCTTTTAGAACTCTTTTTATGCTTTTAACTAAAGCAAAGTTCACACTTTTGTTTCAAAAAAGAGTTCCATATAAAACACAACGTTCGTTCGTATTTTGAAGTCACACGAGTTTTAGTTTACATTTGATACGAAGAACGTAACCCCCGGAAATAAAACCCTAGGGAGCCACCTTAAACTGTATAGTAACTTGTTTTGAAGATTTTTGTTCCCATGCTTAGTTCTTGAGATATTTTATTTTGTTTCTAACCATCTGACGTCATTTACATATATAATGAGATATTAGTAAATGTTGTGTATCTTTGCTATTTTTTATGGATTTGTTTAAAAAAAACAGTATGCTTAATAATGTAGGTTAAATTAACAAACGCGCCGCATCTTTGGAAAGATTTTGATAAGAAATAGCAAAGATACACAACAATTACTTGATATCTCATTATATATGTAATTGCGTAAATGACGTCACACGGTTGCAAACAAAATGAAATATCTCAAGAACTAAAACATCTTTAAGAGCATTCTCGTTGACGCGAGTGCCACTTTAAATTAAAACTGCTTCGCCAATTAACTCATAAGGTGGGTCGTTTTTTAAGCACGTTAAAACATTCGCATCCGATATTTATATGATATATAAACTGTCGTCTTCGGCTCGAGTTTGCATATCAGATAAAGATCGGCTGCTCATGTTTTAACTAGCACTTATTGTTCGCCTCTCACTCGATTGAAAAATATTTGATCGGTATTATAGATGAAAATAGTCGAGTGGAAATTTATATATACATTTATTAGACCTATAACCAGGAACAGCAACTTTAGGTCCTCTGGCAGGAATTGAACCTGCGGCCCTTGCGATTTCGGTGAAGTGCTCTAACCAAATGAGTTGCAGAGGGCAGTTGTCATTCTCCAACCACAAGTTTATGTATATATACTAGGGTACTGCCATGTTAGGTTATGGGTAAATATCAAGATATTTTGTTGGCATCTAACTCGATTGAATTTGATGGGTATTATAGATGGAAATTGCCGAGTGGAAATTTATTCATTTATTATGCCTAACTAGGAACAGCTGAAAAGTACAACTTCAGCTCCCTAACAGGAACCTTAGGTCTAATAATTGTACAAAAATTTCCATCTTTACCAATCAAATATTATTCAATCAAGTGAGATACCCACAAAAAATCATCGTATGTACTCACAATCTATAAATGGCAGTACCCTAGTATATACATGAACTTGTGGTTAGAGCTCGGCAACTGGCCTCTGCAGCTCAGTTGGGTAGAGCGATGCATCGGAATCCCAGGGCCGCTGGTTCGTTTCGCATCTGTTCTCGGTTACTGAGGTCTACTAATGTGTATAAATTACCAGTCGAAAATTCCATTATCACATCAACAACGACTTCTTCTTGGTCAATTGAGAATTAACTCAAAGATTTTTAAGCAGATTTAAATTTACAACTTCTTTATATATCTTACCAAATTTGCTACAAAGATCGCCTTGGTATTCCTTGGGACATTCGCATGTGTAAAGATCTGAGCCAGGTCCATTTTTGAGATCAATGATTGTTTTTCCTCCATTTTTACATTTTTTGACTTTATTGCAGGGAACCTGGAAATATTTATTCATTAACTAATTTAACTTACTTATTTGCATTATACTATAATAGAGGTATTTTATCAATATATTCATTTAATTATTGACATATTTAATTATTTTTTTCTACTAATACATATCATTTTAAAATTTATTTACTCGTTTATAGAAGAAAAATGCATTGATGTGATCAGCGTGGGATACTTATAATTTATATAGACTCGGAGCGAGGGGGATTCGGCAAAATATTACCGGAAGTGATGATATTTTCCGAGGAACTTTGCCCAGGGAATTTTATCACTGCATGCAGGTAATATTTCGACGACTAACCCGAGCCGAAGGTCTATAAATGATATATTTAACGAAACGGAGCTATCGAAGCATGTGTGGAAATTAAAGAGAAGCGGGAGACCATATAGCACCGCTATATATATATATATATATATATATATATATATATATATATATATATATATATATATATATATATATATATATATATATATATATATATATATATATATATATATATTGTTTATGTTTACCTTCCATGGTTTAACGGAGTGGTAAAAATTCCAACCTTTGTCATCTGTGCTGCAGACATGAAACTCATGATCAAGTTTGTGTGTTAATTGGCAGGTTGTTTTTTTCAATTGTCCTTTGCACGTTCTAAAGTTGAACCCCGTGCAAAAAACGTCTTGCAAACATTTCTGGGCACATTGTGTTTGAAAATCATACGTTTCCATCAATATATTCTTTATCAAAGGACAGACATCTAAAAAATTGAAGAATCGAGTTAATTAAAGTGAATTAGTATTTTTTAATCTGGACTATCTGAAACATTTTAGAATCATTCATTTTGGCAATATCTAGTTTATTTATCACATAAAAATTAAGATTTTTCCTCATATGGCGTACTCAATCAAATTCGCAAGCACCCGTCCAATTTGGAAGAGCACCACAAAGCCAAGAGTTCGATATTACATACATTTTTCACTAGCATGCACAACCTATTTGAGACAAGCTTAATAAATTCATGGCGTTTTATGGCCGATTCATAGCATTTTTTCATGAACAAAATCTTTACGAAGCTGTGTCCCATTTCACAGCGTTATTTCATAGTTTTACGGCTGGGAATAGCTATATAGCAACTTCATCCCATGAATATGCTATGCTCTAATAAAAATCTGGTTCAATGTTTCCCATAATGAAAGCTGAATGGTTAAAACGAATTTCGATAAATGTATCTGCAAAGTGTGTCCCAAATAAATTTTTGAACAAAAGTGACAAAACACTTTGAAAATTCAAGAAAATTGGCGCCACCATTGGCATTGTGGGAGTGGGGAATATTGAAATTTTCAATTACTCCGATATTCGATAAGCTAAATTTAAGAATCGAACGCTTCTAATTAGACGCATGACAATTTGCGGATTGTATAAGGTGTTGGTGTCATGCAGTCTCACTCTCCGTTGTTAGAAATTCATTTAGTTTCTGTGGAAAGATGTTTTATCTCCCGTAAAATATTTATCAAGACTCAAACCATGTTTGATAATACAATAATTTTTTGTTATTTTGACAACATTTCTCAAAATTATACGGTTAGAACACAGTTATTCGGATTTATTTCTTGTCAAATTTTAATCTCAGCAGTAAATACTCTTTCACCCAGGCTACTAATAATAGCAGGGCCGTAGCGAGGGGGGTATTGGGGGGGTTAACCCCCCCCCCAACTTTTATTAGAATTAACATATTCGGAAAATCGGGTTGGCCATTCGGAAAATTACGGCAATAATAGTATAACAAAATTTTAGTTGTTTAAACAGAGAAAATATTATGAAATGGTATTGTCAGTATAAACCATTGGTATAAACTGATTTACGAAATCACGACATTTACATGGATAACGTAAAACAAATCGTAAATCGGTAAATGTTTTTCGGTTTATTACTTCTCAGGGCCGTAGCAGTCGGGGGGAGGGGGGACTGGGGGAAGCAGCCCTTACAATAATTTGCTGATAATCACTATTTTTTCAAAATCATGCACACCTTTATCATTTAAATATTATACCTTTAAAATACTGACAATAGACTAGAGGTGTGTGTCGGATCGGATTGGACGTTTATAATCCGACAATTGCCTAATGTTTAAAATCCGATCCGAAATTGTCTAATCCGAATCCAATCCGAGTTTTGAAAAAGAATTCCAATCTGATCCGATCCGAAGATTTCTTTAATAAAATAAATTTCTTATTCAAGTTGAAATATTTAACCAAATAAATATAAGAGCAAGAAATACATGTCAAGAAGCTGACAAAGTGACGTCCAATTGAAGTGTCAAACGAATAATGCAGCAAAAACCGCGATGATACTTTGATAAATGTATGGATAATTAATTCTTGCGATAATGCATGGATAATTAATTCATTTTATTTCGGATATCGAAGTCCGATCCGACTACGAAACAACTTTATATCAATCCGATCCGAAATAGTTATATTTTGGTTCCGAAATCCGAACGAATCCCATCGGATTCGGATCGGATTTGCACACCTCTACAATAGACCTTTCCCCTTTTGAGTGAAATTTTGATCAAGACAAGCCTGGACAAAAATTTCACCACAGCTTGAAAGAGCATCACAAAATTAGTAATATTCCGAAGTTTCGTTGAATGTTGTAAAATGCGGATAATATTGCCTTGCGAAGTTTGCCGTTTTTCAGTCATTTTGCATTACAAACGGGAAATTGATAATCAGTAGATGATCAAACAGCTGATTATCAATTTTCCATTTGTAACTTACAATGACTGAAAAACGGCAAACTTCGCAAGGCTATATTATCCGCATTTTACAACATTTCGCAACGAAACTTCGGAATATTACTAATTTTGTAACGCTCTTTGAAGCTGTGATGAAATTTTTGTCTAGGCTTGTCTAGATCAAAATTTCACATTTCACTGGAAAGGTCTATTGATTAATTTTAGCGGCTACATTATCCATGACAAACCGCAAAGAATCATATTACCCATACTCTTTCCTGCAATATATAGCTAATTAAATACGCCTTCGCCCATTTAGTTCTACTAAATTGTAAGAGCATTGGACTAGTATCCCAAAGGTCGCGGGTTCGACTCCCACCGTGGCCAAGCAAACTTTTCAGCTTGCCCGCTGTAGATGCATACTCACAGGAACGTCACAAATATCATACTAAAACTATGTTTTCTGACCAACAGAATTCTGTCAAAACTTCCCCAAAGTCCAGGAAATGGCCTTTCAGGGAATCTAAATTTAAAAATTTCCTCGGGCCTTCGGCCCTCGTTCCCAGCCCCAATAAAAAAGAGCTTCTTGCGGCACTGCATGCTTCTGTAACATGTCTTTGCGTAAACTACGTGTATTTTTGTTTGTAAATTGCATCTTCATTTTCCCGATAGCAACACCTTCGTGACTTCGTATGCCATGAAATATTCGGAATTTTTTTTCGTCATTCGGAAATTTTTGGCCTACATCCCCCCCCCCCCCCCCCC